AGCCTCACTTTAGTTTGTTTAATGTTTAGCGCCAATGGAACTCGCCAGCTGTCGCCTGGCCTGGAGTGTTATTCCTAGGATATGCATCGCCCCTACAGCGTACGGTCTGCTAGAAGTCTGTTGGCTAAGTGGCATTTGGGATGGTTGCAATTAACAAGCTTTCGCCTCCCTCTTTCGCAGCTACAAATCCTCGTTGGTGTGACGGCGAGACCGTCCAATCGTCGGGGTTGTGCGACGAGCACGTCCATTCCTCGGTGTTGTGCCAGTGAGACTAAACTTAGACTAAACAGTGTGCGGTGTTGTGCGAGCCGATCCGGACGTGTCCACAAGGGCCGCCGCGGGAATCGTGCTCTTGGGTGAGCAGACGGGCGAGCCAAATCTTCGGCTCAAGTCCCCGTTATACGCGACACGGGCGTTGGCCTCTAGTCGAAAACCAAACAAAAACTACACAGGACTGGAACTCTAGGGCATGCATAGGCTAAGATCAGCTCGCGTTCGCGATGTTGGTTTGAGCCCTGCGTACCGGTTCTAAGGTTAGCCGCGAGACTGGGCGCATAGCGGGGCCAACTGCTCACCTGACGCAAAAGCCACGCTCAGCATCGCAAAGACCTAAGTTGCAGCGCTCGAGGTTGAAGCGCGTACATTGTAGTGTTTGAAGCGGTCTGGCTTTTCGGACAGGGATTTTCAGGTCGACGTGACCCTCGGGGTCGAGACCCTCGTCGGCGTCGTAGCCTTCACCTACGAGAACTTCGCATCAAGCTGTTTGTATCCACCGCTTGTCGGCTGGGACATTCGGCTGCAAGTAAGTGGGATTCACTATTTTTCGACGGCGGGCGTGTATATCGCTTAAAATCAAATAGCGCACCGTCATGCGGTGATTCCGCCTTTCCGTGTACTTTGAAGGTCCGCACTCGTGTTAGAAGTGTCCCTCTCCCTTCGCAATTGTGTACTGGTTAATAATAAAAATTTGAAAAATCATTTTATGTGCTTGTCTTTCGTGCTCCCCTCCCTTCACAAACACGCACAGCTTCCGGGAATCGCAGGCTTGCATATCAAACCGTGTCGTTCTCTTTCAGGAATTTTTTTTTTTTCAGTGTGCGAATGTGTCATCAATGCGCGGCTCTTCAATATGAAGGACCTTCCTAGTCGCCGTATTACCAGGTTTATTATTACTATTATTTCTAGGTAGCCGATATCAGAGCAAGTGGCATCCCGCCGAATGCGATTCGCTAGATATCGAATGACTCTAGGCAATCCAATGCGGACATTTGCAGGGTTGGAAATGTGTTTACTGATATACTTTGCTTTATTTATTTCTTTTCAGATGGGCCGCGGCTGCACGTGGACAAAATGTGCCTGAGTGGCCTCGTAGTCTGGAGGCTGATTCACGCGGCACTATTTGATTGGAACCACTGCTCGCACACAGTTAGAACTTGGTTGTGCAACCTTTCTTGTCTCGGTCTTTTTTTTTTTTAAGGTAATTTTTTGTTGTTTTTGGCGGCGAATTTTTCTTTTACAAGATACTTTGCTTTAAACGGCAAGCGCTAAATGTTTTTTCTTCTTTTTTTTTTTCTAGGTTGCAGTTCTTTCTTTTGTAAAATATTTTCTCCCCTGTATACTTGTAGTGGTTATTAATAAAACTTGGATGAACTTTTCTCTGCTTCTGTTTTGTGTTCGCCGCTTCATAAACATGCACAGCCTAGGGAAATCGCAGGTTTACACGCCTAACCGTGTCTTGTCGCCCGTAGTATCTTGTTTATTTTTTCAGTCAGTTGATATCTCAGCGAATCACATCCCGGCAAATGCGATTTGCTAGGGTATCGACTAACTTCTACACCCTCCACTAGGAACCTTGGTGTCCATGCGTCTGCTACTGGAGCCGTCTTGTATTGTTTGTTTTCACGTGTACTTGGTGGAGATGATTTTGTTTTCTGGTACTGTCTCGTATTTTTCTTTCTTTTCAGGTGAGCCGTGACTGGACGTGGATTCGTTCTGCGTCGGTGGTGGGGTTATTCTCTCCAATCTCGCCCACGTGTTTTAAGGGAGTCGAATCGTTTTTGAATAGGTGACATGAGCTCCCATACTAGTAGTAGTACCAAGATGTCTCGTATAAACTCTCCATTTCTTTTAGATTTTGTCGAATTTCGATGGTTGGTCTGGTACTGTCTCGGTTTGTTGGGTTTTGTTGTTCCAGGTGCGGCAATGCGCCGGGGTTTGCGCGGACCAAGTTCTGCGTGGACTCCTGGCTTTCTTCCTGGGGTCATGGCTTGATGCTGCGGTTCTGAGTCGTGCCCGCTGCAGCCTGCACAAGGAGCCGATTCCTGTCTGTGCTGATCACGGTGTTGCCGATCTTCAGACGACTGCAGCATAGGGTTTCTGAGCCTCCTTGAAGCCTGCAGTGTTAGGCAGAATGCCTTCGTCAGCGTCAGTCACTTCACTTCACTTCACTTCACTTTATTTCCTTAAAGACCCCTTCGGGAGGGGTATTACATAAGGGGTGGGAGAATATAAAAAAAAACAATAACTTGAACAATAGGTTGTTACGTTGGATTGATGGTTGACACAGCTTCAGCAAACCTTAATGGGCAGGTGATCGTAGCAACTTCGCCGGGAAGGCCGTTCCAGTCTGTTGCAGTACGGGGGAAGAAGGAATTGAAAAAAGTGGCAGTTCGAGTGCGGTGACGGGTGACCTGCAATGGGTGACCTGTTCGGAGAGAGATGCGGGCGTGGGGTACAATGTAGGGCGCGTGATGGAGCGGAGAATAGAAAAACTTGTGAAATAGACATAAGCTAGCAGTTTGGCGTCGAGAGGAGAGGTCTCAAAGGCCCGATTCAGCTTTTAAGGATGAGATACTAACTTTGTACGAGTAAGATGAGTGGATGAATCTGGTGGCGCGGTTCTGAACCTGTTCGAGTGCATAACTGAGATAGGCTTGGTGCGGGCTCCAGATGGGGGATGCGTATTCCAGCTTTGACCTTACGAGTGATTTGTATGCTAGCAGTTTTATGCTTTGAGGAGCGGTACGTAGATGGCGTTTTAGAAATCCTAAACTTTTATTTGCTGATGAGATAATGTTAGTGACATGTGCGCGCCATGATAGGTCGCTACCTAAGGTGACACCAAGATATTTATAGGACTGTACTAGTTCGACGGGAGTGTTAGCAATTGAATAGGGGAAAAGGAAAGGGTTGGTTCGGCGATGAAAGGACATGAGTTTGCATTTATTTGGATTAAGTGACATGAGCCAGTGGTCGCACCATTCCTGGATGCGGTTGAGGTTTTCCTGTAGATTGATTTGGTCAGAAATGTTAGTAACTGGTTGGTAAATAACGCAGTCATCGGCAAACATACGGATTTGGCAAGTAACGTGTAAGGGTAAATCGTTAATATATATGAGGAATAGCAGTGGGCCCAAGACGGAGCCCTGGGGAACACCTGATGATACTGGTAGGCAGTTGGAGGACTGGTTATTAACGAGGACGGACTGAGAGCGATTAGTCAAAAATTCCTGTATCCATTTCAAGACGTCAGGGTCTAATCCTAGCCGAGAAAGTTTTAGTAGCAAGCGTCTATGAGGTACTTTGTCGAAGGCTTTTGCAAAGTCCAGGAAGATAGCGTCAGTTTGGCAGTTAGAGTCGAGATAGGTATGCAAGTCGTGGAGAAAGAGAGCTAGTTGAGTTTCGCAGGAGAAGTTCCTGCGAAACCCGTGCTGAGAAGAGTGAAAGAATTGGTTAGAGTCCAGGAAGTTCATAACGTGGGTATAAATGACGTGTTCCATGATTTTGCAGGGTACGCTTGTTAAGGAAATGGGTCGATAATTTAATGGAGAGTCCTTGTTGCCTGATTTGAAAACGGGAACGACCTTCCCCGCCTTCCAGTCATCTGGAATGCCGCCTGTGAAAAGTGACTGCGAGAACATAAGTGAGAAAAATGATGAACATACATGGTTACAATTCTTCAAAAATTTCGAGGTGATTTCGTCGACGCCCGCTGATGATGACAACTTGATGTTATCAATAATAGACGAAATACCGGCAGTGGAAAATGAGATGGGGTGCATTTCCGATTCAATAGTTACGATTACGGGTGGGAGTGGTGCGTCGGGCTCTTGAGTAAACACTGATGAGAACGCGATATTAAACATGTTAGCGCACTCACTATCGCTAAGCACATTCCCCGATTCATCGGCAAGAGTTAAACCGGGAGTCTGCTGAGGGTTTATGACCTGCCAGAACTTTCTTGGGTTATTGATTAACATGTTTGGTAAGTCAATAAGGAAAAATGAGCGCTTGGCTTCAATGATCGCGTTTAAATAGGTTTCTTCGGCCTCGTAGTACCTTTCCCACGCGCATGGGTTTGGTTTTGACTTCGCAGAGCGAAAAAGACGCTTTTTTTTATTTTCCAGCCTCTTAAGGGTTTTAGTGAACCATGGCTTCTGTCGGCTAACACAAAAACTGATTTTAGGAATAAATGTATTTATTAATTCGTTAAACTTGTTCTTGAGTAGTACCCAACTTTCATGGATGGATCGACTTTGATAAGCAGTCTCAAAGTCAGTAAAAAAATTGGTTAAATGGTTATTTATCGCTTCATAATTTCCTTTGTTGTAGAGGCGAATTGTTTTATTTTGAGAAGGGGGCAACGTCGGCGAAAACATAAAATCAGCGTGAATGACCTTATGGTCACTAATTTCCCGTAGGTAAGTAATTGACGACATACTGTCAGGACGGTTGGTTAATATTAGGTCCAAGAGACTTGCAGTCTCTTGCGTGACACGTGTTGGCTCAGTTAATATTTGGGACAGGTTAAAATTGAGGCAAACATCGATAAATTCTCTCGTTTCTGCGTTGCTCGTTGTTGTAGGCGCCAGGTTAGCCCAATCGACATATGGGTAATTAAAATCGCCAAAAAGAAGTATGTGGGCATTGGGATGTTTTGCATTGAGGTGGCACAACATATCGTTAAGCTGCCCCGGAAAATCGGGACTATTATGCGGCGGCCTGTAACAGACACCCAACAGCACTGTTTCAGGAGCGGCATGACAGATGAGCCAGAGTATTTCCAGATCGGATGAAGTGTTAATAGTAGTGCATGGTATTTGATGGTTTACGGCAATGAGAACACCTCCCCCGCGAGTACCTTTGCGATCATTACGAAAGAGACGGAAATTTGGCAGGTACGCTAAAACTTCGGAGTCAGTAACATCACTGGTTAGCCAAGTTTCAGTGAGCACAAGTACATTGCATTCAGAAGATAATACAACGCCAGATACGAGTTCGCGCTTCGGAAGAAAGCTGCGTATGTTAGTAAAGATCACCGAAAAAGAAAGATTAGTTCGAGGGGCACGTTGGGGGCGTGTTGTAATTTTCTGTTGACGGTGCGATTGCTATGAGATTTCTTTGACTGATTGGCATGATTCATCGAAAACGTAACGTTTTGCGCCGATGAGCAGTGTTTTGTAGCGCAAAGAAAAGGGAGCAGATTTGCTTCTAGCAAAGGCAAGGAGGTGCTTCCGTGCGTTGCGAACTGAGCGGGAAAAATCTTCGCCCATGCTGAAGTTAGTACCTTTTAGTTTACGGCCGTTCGAAAGGATGGCTTCTTTAGTTTTGAAAAAGGAGAAGTTCACTATTATTGGTCGTGGACGCTCGACCGAATGACGCCCGAGGCGGTGGGCACGTTCTATTTCTTTCGAGTCTAATGTTACATCAAAAAGTTCAGAGCAAAGGCGAATGATTTTTTGTTCGGACTGGGCAAAAGTCTCTGTAGGTGAGAGATCGGGCACACCATAAAATATTAGATTCTTTCGTCGGGATCGATTTTCAGTGTCGTCCACACGGGCCTCAAGGTCAGAGACCTGACGAGCCGCGTGGGCGGCCCTGGTCACCGTGGCCTCCACCTCAGCACGTAGCGTGGAAAGGCCTTGGTAATGACCCTCCAGGTCAGTCATCCGCCTGCCTAGGTCCGATATGGTCCTATCGGTTATCTGCAGCTGACTTTTTAGGCCCTTTACCTCCTCGATGAGTTTAGTTTGACCTGCAAACAGCTTCTGCAATTCGCTTAGGATTTCACTTGAGGTAACAGGACCCGGATTAGTCTCTACATCTCCAGACAACATCAGTAAGCGGCGGATGACTTGAGCACATTCTCTAGCAACGGCAATGCAACACTGCAGGCTCGGCAGCTGTACTAAAAGATAGTTGCTCGATTTCTTAGACGAGCTAACGTATGACAGACCAACCTGCATGGTGTAGGACAGCGGGTTAATGGACCGTGTTGTGGCACAGCCACCGAGCCCACAGAGTGAAGTCGCCGGATGTTGTTCTTTTATGCCTGGCGCATCTGTTGATGTCGATGACGATGGTGCTTCCCACGATGAACTTGGGATCCACGGAGCAGATGACAGCGCCACAAGGTTTAGCGGCGCGTTTGCTGTTGATGACTGCCTATCTCTCGAGCCGTGCGCGTGGCGAAGGGGCGTACTTTCCGTGGCGATAATCCAGGTATCATTCAGGAAGGCTGGAACCATGACGAGGGTGATGAACGAGGTAAGGACCTGCATGGTGTAGGACAGCGGGTTAATGGACCGTGTTGTGGCACAGCCACCGAGCCCACCTCAAAGTTGTGGCACAGCCACCTCACTCTCAAAGTTGCGGGAGCCGCTGAAGGTTGATACCGCGGACAACTTCAAAGTGTTCTCGTTTCGAAGGATCCAGAATTTTGCGGCCGCTCCTTCAAGTCCGCCGCTCCAGTGTTGATGAAAGTTGTCTCCCTAGAAGTGCTGCGTGAAGGCCGGTTGAGTCTGTGGTGAAGTTACAGCAGATCATGGAAGTGACGTGATTCCCCTTGTGCGCCAAGTGCCCTCAAGACCTTGCTTTTCTAAATTAAATATACTGTGGATGTCAATGAATATTGATGTTATTGCCGTTTTCTGTTTGTTCTGCATGCGTGAGTTCATAGCGGTTTGAAGGTTAGGTTTAGGTTAAAAATATTTATCCGGTTATACGCAAAAAAAGAAAAAGTATTAAGGAGAGGAGTTCTGATAAAAAGGTAAGGCTTGCGTAGTATTTTGTGACGATATTCTTGACATCATCGATGGAGAACGGTAAGCTATAATTATTGGATAAATAAAACAGAGGTCAAATTCCAGAAGTCAGTAATGCCATAATATATATTGATTGAGAATGTACAAAGTGCCCTCTAATTCTGCTTTCTAGACTTCTAGATCAACACGATAGGCAAGAAGACATGCTTGACAGCAACGATGGAGAACGGTAAGTTATGATCATGGTCTAAATAAGCGAGAGGTCAAATTTCCAGAAATCAGTAATGCCTTAATATATATTGATTTAGAATGTAGAACGTGCCCTCTAGAATTCCGCTTCCTAGACTTCGAGCGCAACAAAATAGAGAAGAAGCAACTCCAGTCCTAATCCGCATATATTGCGCATTAAACGTTGACAGAACAAAAACTTGCACGGACGCTAAATCAGTCAAAACTGCCATCATCGTAGCGAAGTCAGGCCTTTTCTATAATTTGTACGCTCGGCGTGACAAAACAGTATTAATAACCCCGCATTTGTATATTGGCACAAAAAGGACCCAATTCCAATAATCAACCCAACGAATCAAGCGCAACTACAGGGTCTCATACTTACAGAAAACAAAGACGCAAGGTGCACCGACGATAATTTTCTGAAACGGATCCGGGAAATACCACAGTCTAGTTCTGCATCTCAGCACCAAAAAGAACCCTCGGTGCTTTTAGATAGGGCCAGGTTGACCCCTGTCGCGAACCTGTTAGTTGATTGTAGAAATCATTAACGAACGGGCGTCGGTGTCGCTGGCATCACAACGGTCCGTTACGTTCAGTTCCTTAGGCACCCTAACCCAAGGCTCTTCAGGTTTACACGTCAGTCTGGCTCTTGAGAGAGGGGTATGGCGTTGGAGAAGGCAACAGAAGAGACGTCAGCTTCGACTACCTCCGTTATTAGACCACCGTCAGGATCGCGACAACTGATATTTCAGTGATCGAATAGGAAAATAAAGTTAACTCTGTCTCTTGAGTGGGGCTGCAGCATGCGCCCTCTACCAATAATTCTCACATTATTACATATTTATAAAAGAATGAAGCAAGATTTAATTTTTAGATTAGGCGGCAGCTCGCGCCACCGAACCGGGGCGCTCACGTTTTTACATTTTTAGATGGTGCGTTGCTTTGAAGCTGGGCGGTAACTTGCGTCATCTAGCAACAACTTTAACATTTAATATTTCTATAGAGGGTCAAAATGTGTTATACTTTCGGAGGGGGCGGCGGCTTGCGCCCTCTATATCAAGGTAACGTCGCGCCTGAGACTTTCCCTTGGGAGCGGCTGCCTTGATGCAAGGAGCTTAGTGCTAATGCAAAATTTGAAAATCACAATTTGATGGATAGCTAAAGTGAGCTTTCTCTTTTGAATTGGCCGGGTGGTTTCACCACCCAGACGGCGATCTCACATTTTGACCGCGTGTCCTCGTCGTGGAGGTTCTCTAAGCTCATTATTTGCTTGTGAATGGGGCCAGCTGAACATGAAAAACACACAGAAAAAATATAACACTAGCACCGCTGGACTAGCAACATTTAATTATGCCTCTTTTTCATTTTCTTCTAATCCTTGATTTTGGGTTTCTCTTTCTTTACACTAACTTTACACTAACAAGGATCAGAAGAAAAGGAAAAAAGACGCATCAAAGTCCAGCGGTGCGAATGTTATATTTTTTTCTCTGTTTTTGGTGTTCAGCTGGCCCCATTCACAAGCAATGAACCAACTTGCTCAGCTAACGCCTGTAATCATTATTTAATAAATATAACTCTACTTTTAAAACATTTTTTATGCTGTTACTACCGTCTGTACACCCGTTTCACGCGTAGGGCGCGCAAGTCAAAAGAGTTAGAAACGCGTTGCAGGGCGTCTTGCAACATTCAACTTTGCACAAATATTGACTGAGTTGTATATGAGCTTCCAACATACCCTAGGTGACTGTGCGAGTACTATCCAAACAGGTCTTCTCTCAGTTATAAAATAAAAATGTATGTCGTGAAGTCTGTTCTTCATTGTAACCAAAAGTCCGAGGTAAAAAAAAGAAAAAGACGAAAACTTAATAATTTAGTTTTAGAACTCTTTTTGCGTGTGTTAACTCAATAACCGGAACGTGACAGTTTTTGTGCATCATCATTTTCCGGCTCTAACTTTGATGACAAACTGTATTTACAAATACATAGACTACTCGCCGCATGCGTGTAGCAATAAATAGAAAGGAACGACAGTGGCTGGAGCTCCAGCTCAACGCTGGAGCTTTGAGCTCGAGCTTTCTGTCTTTGATAGCACTAGGGATGTCGCGAACCGGTCAAGGTTCAAGTTAAACCAGGTTCGATCTTTTTGAACTTCTTGTGAAAAGTTCGACAAAGGTTCGACTCAGGTTCGTCTGCTGTGCGGATGCGCGACAGGCTGACCGGTTGGCATCGGATTGGATGGTTATCACTAAGGGAGGAATGAAGGGCAGCACTGATTGGTTATTTCAGTTAATTTTGTACAAAAATTAAGTTATTAATTTCTTCAGTGATTAGAATTAGTTTATTTTAATAGACGATTTGCAATTTTCCCCGGCGCCCTGGCCCGCGCGCGAGGAATTGTGGGAGAAGTTGTCCCTCACCTGGTCGCTCTGCCTTGAAATCGCGTTGCCTTGTCGCTCGTCTCCTCTAAATCCTCTGTTTTTTTATTCTATTACCTATTTTTATCTATTCCAGTCTATTTATTAGTGCTTCTAAGTGTTTCTATTCTCTTCTGCGCGCGATATTTCTTATATATATATATATATATATATATATATCAGGGTGTCGAACCGGAACCGAACCGGTATTTTTTCCGGAACTGAACCCGAACCCGAACCGTTATATTGTTATCGCGATGAACCCCAACCGGAACTGAACCGGAAAAAAAATAACGGTTACCGGCTCATGTCAAAACGGTTCGGCCACGCGCTGTTGACAATGAATGTGCTATCAATGCCATTTGCTTTTTAAGTGCCGTCAACTGACACACACCTCGCTTACATATTTTTCTTCTCCACTCAGTCTTAGGAATATAAACGCTGCATCCATGAATCTTGACAAACGCTGCACCCATGAATCTTAACATAGGAACCAGTATTGCGCTGGTCGCGGCTTGCACGGAAAAAAAAAATTGAAAGGCTGTGCAAATTAAAAAAAAAAAAAAAAAAATCGCGTCATGGGATTTTATTTTTTTACAATCTCGTAAATCCTAAATGCTGCTGTGTGCTCATTTCATAACATGTTTCTAGAACGCGCGAGTTGTTGAAGCTTGCTTCCATCGGAATGAGAAAAGAAAAGGCTGTGGAGTTTGATAATAATGCATCCGGTTTTGTATAGGCACTTAGAAGCTAACATATTTGTGAGACAGCGAACTCTTCTATTTTAATATTTATCCTATTACGTCCTTCTGGCGTTGCGTTCGGTGAAGTGTTTTTCATATTCCGTATCTTGTTTAATGAAAACTTCTTTAAGGGTCTAATTTGAGTTACCGAAGGCTAGTTCAAATAAAGAAAGCTGTATTTTCTCCCCACTTTTCCTTCAATTGCTTACACGCCGAGGTGGCGGGATAGTTAGCGAGTTCTACTTGTAAGTGGGTTTGTAAGCCAAGAAGACGTCGCCGTCCACGACCTATTGTGGCCACTGCTGTGAGCGTTCAAGCGCACTTTGTATTTCGCCGCCCTGAAGGAGGAGCGGGCTCAGCTCAAGTTATTTACTATTTAGAAACGCGTACTTAGCCTACACCCTTTTCCTTTTTTTTTTTTTTTTTTTTTTTTTTCTTTCGCCCCTTAGCTTTGACTTTTTTTGCCGCAGCGATATGCCCGCACTTGAATGTCATCTCCTGACGAAGCCGAGTCTCTCGGCGAAACTGTCGATTAAACTTCCTCTGTTTGTTGTTTTTCACCGTGAGTTCTCCACTTCGTTATATATACGCCTTCGGCCCCTTGGCTCCTATGCCACCATGCCCACTATATATATATATATATATATATATATATATATATATAAACCGCTTCCTATCGCGCTGTTAGCTGTTCATTTTGGTTCATTTGACCCGCGTGCAGTCGAGAGGAGCCGTTTATGAACACCCGCGCACATGTCATAGGGGTCAGCGGAGTTCTGAATCAACAATCGCGACGCGAGAGCCGGGTGCACTGTGATTTGGCCGCGCG